ACTCCTCGGAAGGAAGATGGGGCAATCTACTTCCGTAGTGATACTGCCTCGGAAACCCAAGGAGGGGTCGCTATGAGTCAGGTCTGACTCGATGGCACATAATAGGGGCAGAGAAGGAGCTCTGGTAGTGTAGGCACTTGACTGCTAACCAGAAGGCTAGAGATTCAAACCCACTAGCCAGTCCTCAGAAGGAAAGTTGGGCAATCTACTTCTGTAGTGACTGCCTCAGAAACCCAAGGAGGGGTCGCTATGAGTCAGGTCTGACTTGACAGCACATAACAACAACAACCGGGGCAGAGAGGAACCTCTGCCGGCTGAGAGAGACTGCTGGTTGAGAGAGACTGAGTGCGTTCCTGAACTGGAATTGTAGCCAGTTGCTTCCCGAATAAACCCCATAATCTGTGGGTTCTGTGTGGCCATTGCAATGAATTATCGAACCCAGCAGAGAAGTGGTGGGTGCCACTGGAGGAACAACTGGTGTCAAAGTTAATAAGAGGGCTGGAGGGTGGCAGCATGTCTGGCCTCGTGGGAACAGGCCTTGGGCTGCTGATGGTGATTCTGTCTTCCTCTGTGTAGTCAGAGGAGGTCAGAAGATGCCGCCTCCCTGCCCCTTTAGCAGCTGATGTCAGAAGTGGGATATGTTACAGTGGCCCCAGACTCATAGAAGCCTGGGGCTTTATAAAAGAAAGAAGGGGTCTGGTACGTGAAACTTTGGATTCTTAGATAGTTACTTTGGTTGGTGTTACCTATTAAAGGAGGTAATTGATCCAGAGGATAGGGCTTTCCGTTATACCCAGCCAAAGGCCCAAGGCCACATACATAGAATGGAAAGACAATCAAGGTGAAGAGATGAAACTGGAATGTCTTAAATTGGATTATGTGTTTATGTGAATGTACTATGGATACTGAATGTTCTTTTACCTACCTGTACATGATAAATGATTAGGGGTATGGATAACAGAGAGCGTGTAAGTCTGACTTCAGCCAATACTTGATTGGCTATGTTAAAAAGGAAAACAGAATTTGCCCAGAAGAAATGAAACCGAGTGGAGTCAAAGTTCAGCCTGCACCCCCACTGAAGGCAAGACAGATAAGTAAACATGATAACTCAGTTCCTTAAGAAATGAATAGGATGAAAGCTCAACTATTCCCCCATCCCGGTTAAGACAGATAGGACTCCGGTTAAGACAGATAGGACCCCGTTGGAGACAAATAAGTAAACATAATAACTAGGCTCCTTAAGAACTGAATGGAATGAAAGGCCAATTTACACATTCTTTCCATGCTATCCCCCTAGAAACAGGTGATAAGCATGTTAATGTGTCTCAGGAGACAACTTGAAAATTAACCTTGGCCGGAGGATATGCCCAGTGAGACAAAAAGGAACAAAGTTGCTGGGAACTGACATTCTCCCTTCTGCCTAAGCCCTGATCAGCTGATAACAGGAAGCCTGTGTGACTCAACTGG